CTTCTTGTCTAGACAGGGGACTTGGATTTCTGGACCGTCTCATTTTCACGCAGTGGAAGAACCTTGCTCTTTAGTCATTACTCAGGCACAATGGAAGCAGGCCCATGCAGGGCATTTAGGAGTGAAGAAGACATATCTTCGTTTTTGCCACATGGGTCTGCGTCCAACGTGGCAGTGGGTAGTTGACAAGGTGCGGTTATGCAAAGAGTGCTAGCTATTTCACCGACCACAACCATCTAACCCATTTGGGAGTTGGCGTGTGCTGGCAAAACTAGGTCAAGTTATTGGTTTAAATTTCATGGGACCTTTCCTTGAGAGGAAAGTGGGAAAGAGGCGATTTGTTCTTGCTATAGTGGACATGTTGGCCAGGCGTGCGGGGGCGTGGGCATTGACGGGTGCGGGAGGGACAGACATTGCGAGGTGGCTAAACAAGTGGGCACAAATGCATGGGGCACCTTCAGCCTTGTGTTCTGATGTGTGCAAGGCAACACAATCCAAGGATTTGAAGGAGTGGTGCATGCGGGAGGGAGTGACACAACAGTACTCACCTCCCTACCACCACGCATCCATTGGATTTGTGGAGCGATTCAATCAAACATTGTTGAATCGTTTGAGGCGAATGTGGGCAGAGGAACCTAAGCATTTTACTAGGATGGTCGAGCAGGCAGTGGCTATCTACAACAACACACCTCTCTCTTCTCCAGAGGAGAGTAAGGAGACCCCTACATCTCTTGTGTTTGGATCACCCAACCAGCCGTGGAACAGTTCTCAAGCCGTGTGGGGACAGCTACGCCAGTACGCACGTCAGTAGCGTGCAAAGGCAAATCACAGAACCAAGGGCCGGCGTATCCAGCGAACATTCAAGGCAGGGGACAAAGTGTGGTTGTGGAATACAAAAGTCGAGACTTTGAAGGACAAGCTTGAACCATGGTGGAGGGGCCCGGGGCAGTTGATTCGCCCTACAACGAATGCAGTTTGGGAGGTGCCTGGGCCAGAGGGGAAACTCTGGGTTAGACATACAAACATGATTAGGTCGTATAGGGATGCAATCTGAGGAACGAAGTTGTTCAATGAATGATTGTTTAGCGCAGGGAAGTGTGTGAGGGCGACGAATACATAGTGGATAATTATAAGGTGAATAGTGTTAAATACAATGTGATTAGGCATTGTGAACACGGTGATAAAAGCATGGTGAATATGGGAATAGTGGGTGACTAAATGGGGACATTTCCTGCGAACACTATATGGTTGATGTGGTTATCCTATAATGCATCTGCTTGCGGCATCGCTTCCCGTGCCTGAGGAGCGACCGTGTGCGAGTGTGTGTGAGGGCGTACGGTTAGCCTGATACCTACTATGGGGGTTTGCTAACAGAACCCACCTTGAGGGAATGCACCAACATAATGGCAGGCCAGAAGGGTTGCAAGAGGGTGCGTGTGCATGGAGCGAGATGGCAGAGGACACTTGTACTACTAAGCACTGACTCAGTAGGGCATCCCGGGGGGATTTGTGATACGTGCATGTATCGGGTAAGGATCGGGCGCTAACATATCGCCCTATATGCTAGGCTATTGTGCAAGACCTAGCCCATGGGGGCTTGACTGCAATCAGGCCAGGGATCTTATTATGGCTAAACGGGGTCATTACAAAGTAAGATTATAGAAATCAATGGCAGAATCATTTTTTGCAAATGAGTGATACCATATTTGTGCTTTCTGATAAGTTTGAAGATTTTGGGATTCTAAAAAGAAAGAGTTTAGTGGACACTAAGAAACAACCTCAATTTCCGATAATGTTTTGAGACATTTCGAGTTGAAGGTGTTGTGTAATTGAGAAGAAATATTCATCAGTTTATTATAGGAATAGTGGAGGTTGTTGTCAACCTTGGCCTTGAAAATAAGGTTCATAATGAGATGTGTGCGAGTCTCCACATCTCCTGCGAATTATGTGATGAATCGTGGCCATGACAGATGGACCACCCCTTCCAACATGCCGATTTTGGTGGTGGAAGATGGGGTGGAATGACGAATGGCCACCATTCTTGAGTGGCAAAAGGGTCGTGGCCTTCCCACCCATCAATATATCAATGACTTTTTTGACGAGCTGAAATGTTCCAACAACAGTGGCTTGCACAACCTAGTGTGCAAACTACGGTTTGGTTGGTGGGTGGTTGTGCCATATTCGACAAGCCCTGGAAAAGAGCGAATGGCATGCAATATGCTCTTCTTGAAGAATGGGATGAGGCAATGCAAAGGGGTGGTGTTTTGTTTGATGTGACAAAGAGTGCAACTATGATTGTCACCCAAAGCTGTGATTCGCTGATTTTTCTTTGGTCCTCAAATCAGAAATTCTTTTTGGACTTGTATCGATAGTGTAAAGGGGGTCAAAGTTGTCGATCCTCAAGCCTCAAGTGGGTGCCCTATATGCTGAACGCCATCTATAAGAGCAGCTGGGCATGGGGAGCGTGGCATGAAGAATTTGGCATGCTGATTGGCGTGTTGTTTTTCCGCGGGCGCCCTATGTGATGGATTGGTGATCCCTCCAGCGGTTGGCTAGGCGTAATGGGCATAGTCACTTGAGCAATCTCGATGCGGTGCGGACGTGGTGGGCCCCTTGGCGGAATGGCCTCTACGGTGCTTCAGTCGGAAAGGCGGATTGGGTCCGGGTTTGCATTGCGCGTGGTTCGTAGGCAGGCAGTGACAGCAAAACATAATGTTCATTAAAAGTTCCTAGCGTCTTGTCCCTGCAGCACACAACACGGTTACATAACCCTCAAGTCACCCTGTACTTAAGCCACCGTCTCTACAAGCACCCAGACCGTCCTCAAAGCCCTCATTTTTATGCAGCGAAATAGCCCAAAAATGGCCAAAATCCTAAATTCGCCTCACTACGCTCGAAGGCACGGATAATTGGTCTGCGCGCCTTTGCATCACATCTCACTGCGCTCGAATAAAAAACCGAAAACAATGTTCACACAACACTGATTGGGTTGAATGGAGCTAACGTGGATGGGGCCTGTGAGGGCCACAAAGAATGTCGGGATGAGTGGTGTATGCATGGAACCTAGATCCTGTGCAAAATTTGATTAGATTATGAGCAAATTCGATAAATTTGATGACAATGACAGGTTGGGCAGCCGTGGGATACATGGCCTGGATTTTTCAGCTGTCACTACTAGTGCATGATATGATTGGATAGTATGTGGGAGATTTGATTGGATTTAGGCAGTCCATAGGGGTAGTACAAAGACGGGATTTTGAATGCTAGAAAATTCTTAAGTGCATGACACTAGGCATTCTGAGAAGGGCAATGGGGAATATTCTGTGGTATGTGCAATGAAGTGTGTGGCTGAAAACGAACATGAGAATGTGTATAAACTGGTGGGTCGACAATGTCGTCGACCTCCAGTCTGTAATCTACATTTGGTTACAGCTGTTGCAGCCAGCCAAGCCTCCTCACCAGCTGAGGAGAGGAACTGCGAGGCCAGCTGAGCGTCCCTTTCAAGGGAGGGACTCAGGCCCTGTGTGCGACTGGCATGAGACGACAGGCCTATGCGTTTCTGGCCATTTCGTCGCTCGGAATCGCCTTTGCTCGACTGAATTCAAGTCGATCTCTTGCTGCTGCCTTTTGGAAAGATGTGGCCATGATGAAGCCATGATCTTTGCAAGAAGAAAAAAATTTATTCTGAAATGGAATGTGCAATACAAGTCTCAGTTGCAAGCAAGCGGGAATCTGTGGACTTTGCCAACATGATCCACACTGAAAACAATTGGTTCCACTGTATGGAAAACATGGGCCAAAGTCTGAGGTTTACAGTATTTCAGGTGCCGCACAGCTTCCAAGGCACAAACGACCTTGAACGGAAACTTGTGTTCATGGCTGCTGTAGGTGGCCCCTGCAAGTAGCCAAACGGGACAGATTTCATTGGCTTTGTTGTGGCCTTGTAGAGATCCTATATTGGAAATGCATTCCTTGCAGTCAGCGATGCTTACAAATACTTGTGCACACATGCAGTTATCCAAGGCGCCAAGTTGCACACTGAAATTTCGATTCAATAGAAGATCAAGGCAGAGTACTCCAAGCATTGGTTACAGCATAACCTTGGAGTGGCAGCGAGCACAAATTTCAGACTTCCAACATTTGGCTCTCGGCATTCTGCACATGTTGAAAGTTTGCTTATCGGAGATCTAGATATTGTTGACCCCATTTGGCAAGTTCGGCCTCTGCTAGAGCAGCGTAAACAACTGCTCTTCGCCACATGCAGGGACAGGGGTAACCCAGATCTGTTGGCGTCTCCAGCGGACGCGGAAATTCCCTTTGCGTTCATTGCAAACGCACAGCTTCAAAGCTCGCCAGAGTGTTTGAGGCTGATGACTTTCCCTCAAGAACTGGACGTAAACGGTAAACGGGGAGCCAATCTTCCGATTTTGACCACCTCTTGCACCTCAGCGTTCGTTTCATAACAAGATGCCTCTTTTCAATGGAGGGCAATTCAATTTGGGACAGTACGAGTGTAATAAATACATGAAAGCATCCTTTAAATTGCAGGCCGGGTTAACAATAGACCAGGTAGTGTAATTGGAAACCGTGGCTATCGTGCCAACTCTTTTGTCATCAGTGTGCAAAAAGCCCTGGAGCCACATTCCTCTATCTTTGAATGGGCTTCCATATGTATTGAGCCTGTACAGCACACTAAACGCCGTGGCCTGCGTGCCAAAAAACAATCATTCGTCCATCATAGCATGCCAAACCCTCGGATATCCTGGTCGTCGAGCAAACCAAACGACCATTCGACAGCTAATTTCAGACATCGTGAGGAGAACCCCAGGGCTCGTGGCCAATTACCCCATGTGCAGTTTCTGATCACAATAAGCATGTGCAGTGTGCTCTGCCTCCATAGTACTGGGGTATCAAAGTGCATATTAGCGTTAAAGTCATAGTGGACTAGAACACCTTGTTGGGAGCCATTGTCAACAGCTGGGGTGTTCAACAGAGTGTGTTCAATCTTTTTCTTGCACATTATCAGTGTCCTCCTTGTTGTCCCCCCTATCACCATCCTTGGCATCCTGGAAGAAACACAGAGGCCAGTTGTCAAATATCATGGGTTGAATGGCCAAATACGCACCAAATGATAGGCAACAATATTGTCAACATGCTTGGAATCAAATCATTGTGCATGATTGGGGCCGCTTCCATTCATTAACGAAAGTTTGGAAGTGTACTGGCAGAGGACTTGAGAATAAAGCATAATCAAGCAATAACTTTGGTATTGTGGAAGGACTCTCCTGGCTACAGTTGCTGAACGATGCAAGGCGAAGGATGCCGCCGCGGCAGTCCCACCACATTCTACGCTCAATTCCAAAACGTTGCAAAACAAGACACCCAAGAACAGGCTCACATGTTTGCTACTTTGCCGAACGTGGAGGCAACGCTTGCCACACTGTCTGGAACTACTTCTTGGCATCGTCGGCTGTCATGAGGTGACAGACCATACTGTGGTGTTGCTGCCTTGGACACATGCCCCAAAAACGATTGCAGAACGTGAAATTGTCTTAGATGGCCACTGCATTTGATGCCGATGGCCAAGCAAATTTCCACAGGAATTACAGCACATTGGCAGCAGCACTTTAATCTCAGCTTTCAATTTTGGATTCTGAATGTGCTTATCGTTTGGATGGCTCTACTGCAGGCTGCCCCCTGCATTCCAAGGTAAGGTTGCATTCCAAGGTAAGTAACCAGAAGGTGATATGCTGCGCTAAAGACTGACGACTGATCATAAGTGCACAACAGAAAATTCCCAACAGGAAAACCCAGAAAGTTTGACAACAAACTGACCTGCATGTCGTTAGTCCAAAGCGTTAGGTTGTCTCTCAGCAGCTGCATAATCAGAGTGCTATCTTTGTATGATTCCTCGCCCAGAGTGTCTAGCTCCCGAATAGCTTCATCAAAGCCCTGCATGACAGTGATGACAATGACACTGAGTTTGAGCTCACACCCCCGTTGCAACTTCAGGGTCAAAGTATACTTGATCGATCGCTGTCTTCAGCACACATCTAGCGCATAGTAAATACACCATTATACTATATCAAAGGAACAATGATCAGATCTGATCCTAGCATGTGAATCATCTGCATAAAAATCACAAGTTGTTATTGATGAGCATATTGTGTTTGAGTGCTTGGTGAACACCGAAACAATGTTTTAGGCTGCAGGTAAATGTGACACCATCATGGTGGGTGTCCGTCCTAACAGTGCAACACAACTCCCAGACATGCAGAACAGGAGCCAAGATACAGAACAACCTGAACCGTAAGGATCAAGAATAGTGAATGAGTACAACCTTGCTATATCCCATTTTCAAACGCTGGAATAGAAAGACTAGCAAACGCAATGCAGGTGCAGTCACTCACAAGCTTGCCGCAGGGTGCATCTTGTTGTTTCTGCCACTTCAGGTATCATGCTGTTGCATTCATTGATTTGTGTACTATCTTTTCACACACACAAAGCCCCGCTCGCCTTGGGCTTACTAGCAAAAATTCTCACAAACCACTTTTGGTCCAGGATAGTGTGCACAATACATGCGTATGGCATGTCGCCTTTTCATGGCACACAGTCAACAACAACGCTGATGTTGAATCTCTCTTGTTGAACACCCTTTCACAGGGTGACAATAAATAGCAAACAAGCAAACAAGAAACAACCCACTACTGGGGTTGCTCGTCTCTACATTTGCATCCGGCAGTGTGTACCCCCTTGGTCTCAGAACGAAAAGATCACTGTACAGATACTGCTAAATGCAGAGTTGCCTTTGTTGAGGGGTTGGTTACTAGTGAACTTGCATCAAATGCAGTCAATACAAGCACAAACTAGTGCAACGGTGACACCTACCTGCTTGGCCAGATGGCAAGCATGCTCAGGAGAATTGAGGATCTCATAGTAAAAAACTGAGAAGTTGAGCACCAGGCCCAAGCGAATGGGATGTGTCGGCGGCAGGTCCACGAGCGCTATGTCCTACATGCACAGCAAGCAATCGTTGGCAATCGACCACGACTTCAATGACCAGGCAGGCCTGACCAGGAGCACTTGTGGTTGAGCCAAGGGAGCTCAGTGCATGCCACTGCATGCAAGGTGCATAAAGCATCATAGTGTCTTGTGAAGGTAGATTAGAATCAACAAATGCAGAATGGAGAACAAAGGCACTGCAGAAGCAGAGAGCGATGTTGAGGAGAAAAGGGTAAGAATTGGGATGGTATCAGCACAACGAGTGTGCGAGGTGCGACAGGAGGCACCTGTGACTCGCCCAGCGCACCCCAATGCACCGAACTACAGGAGAGAATGCAGGTAGTGGCAAGCTAGACAAGAAGGGGTTCCCATTAAATACAAACATGCTTCCCACTGATTGGTCCCATGCAACTATGGTTCCGCTGTGGCAAGGAACCAGACCATGTTGCAGACAAGGGGATATGGACTTGCAGCAGACAGCCAATATTGACAAAACTGTTTCCGCACCTGCGCGGCCTTGTATGCCAACAGGGTTTGCTCAGCGGCCTCCTTGCGCTCACTGGAGGCCGTGAACTCGGACAGGTATCTGTTGTAGTCGCCCTTCATCTTCAGATAGAAGACCTTAGACTCTCCTGAGGATGCTGTGGGAATCAAGTAGTCATCCAGGAGGCCCAGGATGTCATTGCACACTTGCCTCAGCTCGTCTTCTATCTGCGACCCATCGTACAAACATTAGACTGCTGCACTTTGACCACTGCCCACCCTTTGCTGCAGTGATCCTTGCAACATGTTGCCATTGGAAAGGAGCTAGCCACTGATGGGGCCGCCCATTCTGGCTGCGCCTCGCTGTGGAACAGAGACACTTGTTACTTTTTTGTGCACAAAACCACATCAGGCAGGGTGTTGCACGTGCAAGCGTGCTTTGTTTGATTTTCTCTTTGTCTTTCAAAGGCAGAATTGAACAAAGGAATTTGGCCTTGTGCTGGGAGGAAGGAGGGCGTTCTCAAGGCTTTTCCAATCCACAGGGGCCAGGAGGTGGTGGGATCCTCGCTGGGGTTGAAACTTGCGACCCCAGATCGCTGGCAGGTGATCACTTGGTTGATCACGCGTGTGCCAGTTTTCCAGGCGAGCCAAGGCACCGCGCACCCAGCGGAGGGTTTGAGGGCACCCCCGACCGAAAACCGATCCCAGCCATGCTCGACAAGGGAGCCTCGATTCGACCGAACCATCCCAATCCGACCCAAATCCCGCCTAGCGGCCCCTCCACCTCGGCAAGCCGCGCCGGCACACCAACAGCCCTCTGGCACTAGTCCCTTTCTCCGGCCACGTTGGCGGCGGCCCCGCAGCGCCCAAAATGGGCAAAAGGCGGGACGCGCTCATCGCCGCCAGGACGTCCCCGCACGACTGGGCATCCGGCCTTTCAAACACGGCGCAACACCTCGGCACAACGGGCAATCCCCCTCCCGGGGAACAGAGCACCATGCTTGGATGCACACGCCCGTCATTGCCCACAAGCCGCAAGTGCACCGCCCTGTCTTGCCAAAGTCCATTCTAAACACAGAGATTCAGCCGCAGCCACCGCCCAGCCCGCGGCCCCACCTTCCTGCGGTACTTCTGGATCCGCTCCACGTGCTCCGTCCGCCCCTTGCCCTCCTCCTTCTGCTGGATGCTGGACACCACGCGCCAGGAGCTGCGCCGGCTGCCCACCACGTTCTTGTACGCCACGCTCAGCAGGTTGCGCTCCTCCACACTGAGCTCCCCGTCCTGGGCCCCCCGTGCCACCCTGCCCATCTCCGCCACCATCTCGTCGTACCTTTCGGCCTGCTCCGCCAGGCGGGCCAGGTACACGGATTCCTCCCGTTCCGACGCGGTCCCCGCCATCTTTTCAGCTCCTCAAAATTGGTTGGCTCTCTTTTTGTTGGTTCTGGTGTTGGGAGGGGTGGGTTCAGGGAGGCCGCTGCCGGGCCTAAGGGGGAGGGGGGAGGCGTCCGGGTGGGTTGGGAAGCGCTGGGAAGGAGAGGGGGGCCGCCCGCCGGGGGCGCGGGCATGCGCGTGAGAAGGCCTTAGTCAAAGCGGCGGTGGGACGAGGCCGGAAGAGATGTGGCCCATGGTTGGCAGGGGGTACAGAATGACGAATAGGATGTTCGTCAATGTTTCAGGAAAAAATGGAACAAGATTTAGCACTTATTGTACTGTGTTGCACCGCTGTTTCCAGACAAGTGCTTATTTCTTGTCTGCCAGACATCGTGTCTGTATTGTAGACATGATTTCTGACAGAGAAGAAGTAATATTTCTTGTTCCTGTTCATTTTTTGCTTTTTGAGTCTTGTGTTTGTTTATTCCCGGCTGTGGACTCCTCTCTTCTGTGACAATGGATTGGCATTCTTTGCGTGGCGTGCCGGATGTGCTGTTTTCGCGGACCGTGCCAAACTGCTCTGTCTGCGACAGCGCACCTGATCAAAGTGTGAATCGCACACTTCGAAGCCGTTCCCTAACCAATCCATTGGACCCCGTAACTGCATGCTCCGCTCATTGTGTGTTTCAACTAAGGCGATGGCGCATTGTGTGTCGCCTGTTGGTCATGGAACGACGAAGCAATGAACAACGTTATTCCCATTGAATAGTGCTCGAGCAATGACCTGATAGTCGTCGCTGCCATGGCGCAAAGTACATATTCGATTCAAATATCACAGCTTCAAAACCCTGTCGCCGCTGTCGTCTAAAACTAGCTTGCAAGGTAATACCACTCAGCGCTTATGATCGCATATGGATTTGTTGACATTTGCTGTACGTGGATTTCCTGACCTTGATCATCTTGGCGGAACAGAACATCAGAAGCGATATGCTTTCAACCAACGCGTCGAATTGAGAATTTATTCACGGCTCAATTTTAGCTCAACGCAGATATCTCCATAACAGGGTTGGCTTGGAGGAAAAAAAAGCAGCGCCGGAGAGTCTGCGCTTAACAAATTCACGGTGAGGCTCGAAGGGGCCAGCTGGCCCACTTCACTGCAATGAACGCTGTATCCTTCATTGTATACATTGTTCTGTTCACATTGTACTGTGTACATACAGTGAAGGATACTATCCTCCACGGTACGCCGACCTAGGCCACAATGTAGAAGCAATCGCACCAATTGCCAAAGTGGAAAGCACGCTTCCGTCTATGGTTCTTTGCTTCCTGGCACCATGCCACAGTCATCGTGCCGGGATGAATGACAGGGAAGGTATTGAAAGCAAACAGTACTAGCTGAACATCCTATCTGCGCATGGTGATTACAGAGAGATCATTTTTCATACTTTGCATGAAGGTGCTGGCGGTTTGAGAGAGGCGTATGCAAAGATTGCACAAGGGTTGAGTAAGGATGTGCTGAGTCATTGAGTCCTTACACTTGTTCGGGGGAGTCCTCCATCCTGTCTATTGGAATAGGCGCCCCAGGTTTGAAATCAAAAAAGGGGCAACGGCAAGGGACAAGTCAGCTCGGAAATCGATAAGGATCGAACCAGAAAAGTTTCTGATTCACAGAACGTGATTTTGGGAGGCCCACGCGCCCTGTGCAGCACTAGTTGGTGGCAGATATAATGGACAAGGTTGTGAGTTGGCAGCCAGTTTCGGACAAAGTTTGTGCCGGTGTGGGTGTTAGCTTGCATGAGTCGCACAGCCTTCCAAACAGCACCGACTGCGGCATTTTGCGGCCGTCGACTTGCGCACTGTGTTTTCACTGTCAATCGCACGAAGCACGTAATCCTCATTCGCGCAGCGTCCTCGTCTCTGCAATCCCGCGCCCATTGACGAGCAACAACTGAGCCATTCACGCAGGGCTGCTCCATCCTGAGCGTGGCAGCATGATCAAACCATCTCCCACGGTTGCTTGGCAATTTCGACAAGAAGCCAACTGTCTGCAGCGGACATCAGTTCTGCAATGCGGCAAACTGTTGACGGACGGTGGTTGCAAATATCTGTGCCATCCAGCTACCTGAAGTACTCCGTGCCCTCCATTGTCTCGCGATGGCAAAACACTCGCATTAAGGGTTTGCGAGTCTTTGCAGAAGACGAATACTACTAATATGCACAGCGAACGTCGCCATCGTTGCACCAGCGTCCAGAACGACATCGAAGGTCTGTCGAATTGACTGTGACCTCCATGGCGACAACCAGTTCTGCGCAGCTCTCCGCTTCTGAAGGATGTTTGGGAACACGTGGCAAACGGCTCATGCGACACCTGGACCAAGACTCCATGATTCTCATATTGATTCAGATGCGGGCATGTGGCCGCAGATGCCCAGATCTGCAATTTCCCATCCATACAGGGGTTTGAGCTGTCAGTGAGTGTGAGCGCGTCTTGGTCGTGCATGTGCTGCAGAAGCGGTGTCCATGCAGGCAGCTGCCCAACAGCCCCACACAAGGGCCCAACAGGGCAGCAAGAAACAAGACAAATCAATTGCACGTCGGTCTCAATGGATCCTCTCACTCTCGTGTTTCAAGCCGTTCATGTTTTTGCCTGCCCAACTTCCCCTTCCCGCAACCCAGCCACCAGTGCACATCTCCAATTCAAAAATCAAACTCAGCCTCAGCACAGCTCAAACACCAAGCCCATTCCACAGCCCCCGTTATGCGCCCATGGCCCGCCAGCACCGCCAATTCAATTCCATTATTGCAGCTTCAGCTGCTGCTGAGCCTAGGTCAAGGAGTTCGCCAGCATGTCCATTCCACAATCGCCACTTCACTCGGTGTCATCATATGTGCAAAATGCCACTACGACCATAAGGATCAACATCTATGCCTGCACAAGCTAGTGGCCTGGACTGCCAGGCAGCCTGTGGGACAGACGTAGCTAGGAGGGCTCGCTGTGCGGTGACCCCCTGGGGGACATGTGGGTCGATGTGGAAAAGACTGTGCGCGCCGACTGGAAGCTGTCATCACTGCTCGAGCTCATGCTGAAGGCCTGCAGGGCCGCTGGGACCTCTCGACCGTGCACCCGCTCCCCCAACCCCCCCTCCTCCTCCACGTTGCACCTCATGTAGCCGCCGTCATCCACTCCGTTACCAGAAGGGTCCTTGGAGGCCAGAGGGTTGCTCACCAGCATCATGCCAGCCTTGACAGTACCGTCATCAGCGCCTGGCCCCCGGATGGCTCCCAGTGAACTTATGGTGTCCATCGTGCTGTGGTCGCCCATGGACGCCCACCTCGCCACGATCACTGCATCGATCAAGAGTTGCACCAGGTGGCCCAGGATGCAGGGGATCGACAAAAGGCCCAGGTCCCAGATGGACTCGTCCAGGAAGGATATGACAGTGAGGGACACAGGCAACGTCTTCTGACTGGCCATCAGCACCACTGACCGCATTTCTCGGGGCGGCAGCGCCAGAACCACTGTGGCAGCAGAATTCCAAACCAAGTAAATGAGGTGCATGCCCGCAGCTGCTGCCATGATGATCCCCACATCCTTGCCACGCTGGTCCAGGACAAGGTCCCTTGACCGGCTGAGCGACTGCCAGACGATCAGCACAAGGCTGCCATTGCTGACGATGCTCAACAATGGCTTGTGCTCCTTTGCGAGTCGGCGAAGCCAGGGGACCAGTTCCCTGAGGCCCTTGCCCACAATAACTGGCAGCAGGATTGTCAGCAGGAGTTTGACCAACAGCGCCAACGTGTCTATATCTACGTTACCACCATGCGCAATGATGAGGTCAATCGTGAAGGGCACTGTTGCTACCCCTGCCAGGTTGCTGCCGATCGTTAGCATCAGAGCCAGAGCAGTGTTGCCTCGAGCCTGGTTCACCATTGACACCCCCGAGGAGAGTGTTGTGGGCACAGCAGCGAAGATGGCCAGCCCTGGCGCAAACTCCTCAGGCTCGAAGGGCAATTTGACGATTCCAAATCCCAGAGTGGGGGTTATGATGAGAATAGCTATGAGGCCGTAGGCTAGGGAGCGGAAGGCAGTGATTGCAGTGATGATATCTTGGGTGTCCAGGGTCAGGCCGGAGATGACAAAAATGGTGCAGATGTTGACCGTTGTGACAATGCGGAAGCTCCCAACCTGCAGGTGGTTTTTCAGAAAGCCATTTCAATGTGGCTGGCAGATGAGCAACGACACCAGCAGACAAAAACAGCACATGCATCAAGTACAGCACTCCTGGTACAGTATGCACTTTCTCCTATGCAGGACCCATCACCATGTTATGGTATAAATGTAGAAATCTACTGCTAGAAGGAACCACATCAAACTGATCATGGCTGTGTGCAGAACATCACCTCACACATTCTTGTGAGGTGGCTAAAGCCCATTTGTCTTCTCTGAAGATGACAGGCAGAACTTGGGCTCTTTAATGCGATGCAATGCAATGCAATGGAAGCAACAAAGCGCAGGGGCTTGGAAGCATGCTGTCAGTGTTGTTCTTCATCAGCGCAAATGGTACATTGCAACTACAAAAAGTGTATCTGCCCTGTGTATCTGTCCTGTGTATCTCTCCTGTGCTGGCAGAGTCAAATCTGGGAGACATGCAGGCAAAGACTGGTGGGCAGACATAATGCTTGCCAGCTGATCATCCTTAGGCCAGAGAAGACAGGGTGGTCAGCCATTGGCAAAAAAATGGGCTAATGCTTGCCCATGCACTAGGGCTTCCCAAAGTCAGTTCACAAGGTTGCATTGGCTGCCAGTTGCGTCCGTTCCAGAGAGTGCAAGGTCAGTGGGGCTGGACTAGGTTCCACACAGGTAAATCAGATTGATATGCTGACCAGACCAAGGTGCCACTCGTGATGTGGCTTTGTGTTGTTCCCTGCAGAAGGCACCGAATTCCGTTCAATCCAGTCAGGGGACTACAGGAACTGGGATGGAGTCCATTGGAAAGAACACAGGATTGGCATTGCAGACCAGGGCAATAACCCCCACTGCCCCTCACCTTGTGCTGCGACACTTCATCTCCTGGGTACGGCCAAGCCAAAGCCACAGCTACGGCCACTGCCAGACCTGGCAAGTGCAGCAAGAGAGATTGTGAAAGACTGTCGCTGTGCACATACTTTCTTGGTGTTCGCAAGGTCCAGTGTCATGTACTGTCCCGTATTACACATTCTCCGCAGCCAACACTCTACTTGGAGATTGTCCTATGATCTCTTGCAATGTTATGAGCCCAACAAAATTCTTGTTGAGGGGCTGCCCATGGCTGGCAGGGTTTCTTGCTGCCAAAGACTGCTTTTGGTGCTTCAAGATCACGATTTGAGTCCCCGAGATGAATTCGTCATCTGCTGCCGAGGGAGCGCTTTTCGGCAGGGGGGTTATACAACGCCTGCTTCCTTTCGGGCCGTGCACAACATCTGGAACATGGAAACGGTGGGGCAGGATCTCAGCACGCCTGGAGGCTTCGCTGTGCTGAAACTCCAACCCAAAATGCCGTCAGCCGTCACTCACCAATTATCAGAAAGTTATCCAAGAACTTCTTTTGCAGCCAGTTCCTGCAGAGACAACAGTGGAGATACTGTAAGTGCACCCATCGTGCGCATTCGCAACTGAAGGCCAACAAACCGTCTTTCCAGACTTGAATAAGGCCTCACAGGCCTGTCCGCTCGCGAAGGGTTTGGGCTTTGTTTGACATGTTTCCATTCTTGCTGCAAAGAGTCTGTGATCACGCGCCCCAAATTCAGCGGCATACTCCAACAAGGCGCATGGGGCGACAGCGTCCAGGAGCGGACGGCGTCCGCCGGACGCACTGATGCGGGCGCCACGCTCAAAGATGGCTCCGACGCCGGTCGACCGTCGGTTACCGTCGTCAGCGCCGCAACGCCGAGGTTCGTGCAAATTCACAGCCGCGGAGACGCACGGCACGTCCGTGCATCCGGTACATCAGCGAGTCGAAAATAGGATGTCGTCCCGCAGCGAGAACGCGGTCCGAGAGATTGCCCGGAGGTCAACCCGCGTCGCCCGCGGTTTAACGCGCCAGTCGAGCCCCGTCCGCTACCCTGCACGGAAACGCGGGGGCGAAACGCCGGTCATTTTCAGACAAGGCGACAAGAAGAAGAAGAAGAAGAAGAAGAAGAAGAAGAAGAAATCGCGCGTCGGCCCCCCGCGACTGGCGCCAGGGAACCCGCGCAAGCTCCGCTGCCACGTCCGGCCTCCTCCCGCCGCCCCCAGCAGGCAGAACCGCAGCCCTTTCAACCATCTCCCCCCCTCCCTGCACTGGATTCCCGAGCAGCTCTCATCTCAAGTCCTTCCCCCGCCCACTTGGACACCCACCCAGCTCCCCGCCACCACCCCGTCGGCCGCCCAAATTCCATATTCCGCCGCCCGCCGGCCTCACAGCGAGCCTCCAAGCCGCGGGGGCCATGCTGAACCCCCCACTCACCGGGTCGTGCCCTTCGCCTTGGCTCGGAGTGGCACCGCGGATGGCAGCTCAGAATCCATCCCTTGTTTCAGTGCAGATGGCAGAGGATATCTGGCCGGGGATCGGACCGGGTATCACTGGGTGGGATGCCCCACCGCTCCGCCAAACCAACCCGACCAGGGGCTGGAAGAGGGCAGTCCAAACCCTCGAGCAGCCTTCCACCCAACGCCCTCCGACCGCGATGCCGCGACCGACAGGCGCCTCCGGGCCTCGACCGCCGGCCGCCCCTGCCGCCGGTGGCTCCGCTGCGATGGCTGGGCAGCAGCGCTCTGACGCCACCAAGTTTACACTTATGGACTTTTTGTTGCCAAAAGAACAAGGCCACTGTTGCACTAAAGATCAGCACAAGCTACCGTCGGAACACAGAGCAGCACCGTCGCGAACAAAGCTTCCAAATTTGGAGTACTTATCTTGTATCTTCTTGAAAGGAAACGATGCAGCATCTTGGATAGAAGCACTGGAGTGACATGTCACGAGGAGGCGTGGCGAATGTGCAGTGGCGTCACCGCTGCTCCAGAAAACAACAATTCCGCTGTTGGAGAGCAAAATGCAGGTGACTCGGGCAAAAAGCCCGGGAGCTGCATTCCCCTCGCGGCTGCCACCTCCGAGTACACAGCGACCGGGGCGCGGGCAGCCGGCGGGCGCCAGAGTACAGAAACATGTTTCTGGCGCCCTTCGCAGCAGTCACCCCAGGCGGCCAGCCGCCGCTGCCCCGCCTCCCACCGCCGCTCCCATGAAGAAAGGCGAGTCCAACCAGGACGCCCTCCGGGCGGTCTTCCGCCCCAGGAAGCCCAACCAGGAAGATCGGCGGCGATACAAGGTGCTCAGGCTATCTGAAAAATGGAGGCGCCAGGGGGGGGGGAGGGGGGGGAGGGCAGGGCAGGGCTGGGCTGTTCAGTGAGGGAAATGCAACTCCACAGGCACAACGGCAGAGGGCAGTGTTGGCTTTGTTTCCTTTGCCGGCGCCCGCTGGAGCAACGGGTGGCCGCGGGTATTTGCCGACGGTTGGGTTGGGCCGCATGCACACGTGATGTCGACGATCGCTTTTCTGCCGGGCCACGGGGGGGGTTGGGGCGGTACTGCACCCCTTCTTGAGACGAAAGAGGTGGGAAAGGCGTACTTGATTCGGGGCCAGCTCGGTAACTGCCAGCCCCGCGGCGCAGACAGCGGAAATTTTGAGAAGGCCGGCAGCGGACGGGGGGCGGTGTGGGCCCGGAGTGTCCGGGACGCTGACAGGCGAAGAGAGGATCGGCCGAACTTCGAATTCTCAACCCTGATTGTTATCTCTTTCCGATGCTTCTATCTCTTACGTCCACGTCCGCGCAGACTGGCGCGCCGGGACGGAGTTTTGAGATCCCGGCAATGTCTGCGACTGACCGTGTGGCTGAAGTCGTGCTTGCTCTTTGGTGGCTTCCAGAGTGACAGGTTCATCCCATGCCGCACGGAGACCGACTACGACCTGGCGATGGCGCGGCTCAGCCACGACGAGCCGCTGTACCCCGCGAAGCCCCGCAGGGATGCCTACACGGCCGCCTTGTACCACGACCTGCTTGGTCCGGCGGCAAACATGAAGTTGATGCGGTTCTGCACGGATGTAAGTGGATCACTCGCTATGACAAAAAGGAAGTTACCCACACACGCCACACACCACCACCACCCACCCACCCTCCCCCTCCTCCCTGTTCCCAAGGAAGAGTACCTGTTGGACTCTTTTGTGTTGTGAAAGTTTTACGCCAAAGATGCAAGAGGAAAGCACACAACACAGAACAAAGTGAGTGGCAGGAGCACATTCACTCAGGCGTTCCTGCATGGGCAGACATGTGAATCCCAATGGACGCGAGTGGATGATTCGTTATCACATCAAGGAAACATGTCAAGCATTGGGCACATTCCTCAACAAAATGCTTGGGGGACTTCCCTGTTGTTTGGTGATGCAGCTGTCAGCAAATGCGCCAGGAATGGCTTTTGGCAAAAGAAAGCACAAGACAGCAAGAAAAGGTGCATTCTGGGCTGCTTAATCAGCAGGACCTACGCAGCACCAGTGACATGGTTGCTCCAAATTGCGATGCCATGGGAGGGATAGCTGGCCGCAAAGGAAATGGTGTTGACGAGCCCTGTTTCATGCAACCTCTGAACTGTTGCTAAGAAGATCGATGTTTGCAAGGAAATGGAACTGCAAAATAGAGCTTTGACACCCCTGCTGTGTTTGCCAAGGGAAACCTTGTGTTCCCAGATTAACACGCAAGTGTGGGCAACATCAGGTGCACCTGAAATCATCCATCTAGTGGCTGCTCTTTGCACACAACTGCTGTGATCAATCACACTGCCCTTGGTTGGTGGACAGGCATTGACTGGCGTTTTGGAGCAGTGCTTGTCTTTGGCTGGTGACAGCCTGGACATCTTGGCTGTGGTGACTCATCTCACAGTCAGGACGTGACAGATTGGGGACACTTGTTCTTTTGTCCCCTGCTTGCAAGTTCCTGCACGGCTTTGCTATCAAATCACATATTCTTTTGCACTTCGAGTGGTGCTTCAATCTTCTTCACTGGTTGCAATATTTGCACATTCAAGAGTTTGGACACCCTTCTGTCCTGAAAAAAGAGATGCTGGCCTTGTGCCACCCCAGCAAGAAAGGTGAGAAAGTGCATAGCGATTTTTGAGTGGGCTGGTATTGAAGGTGGCGAAGAGATACCTCCCCTGGGACGGGCTTTGGAGATGGATGGGAACGCCCACCAAGAAACCCGTTGCAAGCTCTGTTGTGAGCACAGCAGCATATCGGGTGTTGGATGCCCCTGACGTGTCTTGCAGAGGCAGCATGCAGCTCATTGACTGGGGCTCAACGAACAAGGTGGGTTTGCTGGACCAGCCCTGCAGATCAAGGCAGTCTCAACACCTCCGTGACAGCCTCTTTGGTGCACTTGTTGGAAACATGACACAGCAGTACTATGTCCGGGATCCAGTTGCTGCAGCAGTCTTTTTGCTGAATTCTGAGTCTCTATTAGTTGGTGTATCTCCACGTTAAATGCAAACAACAAATTCGTCAATCTCTTGCAAAATCAACAAAAAACTGCAGCGTTATGGATGGGCGTGTCACCTGTGGGGCTGTTGCAGAGTCGATATCAAGCTAATGTGTATTGTCCACACTGTTCCAAGCACAGAAATGGACATCATAGGAGGGATTCCTGGGCAGGCGATGTGAGGGAGCAAAATATTTGCAACTCGTTCCGTATTCCTTGGGTTGGTGTATACCATTGGTGCTGACTTGAAATGCACCACCGCAAACACATGCTCCTTCCAGGACATGCCAGTGACATACTGGCTTGCACATGGCAGGTGATGTCAGGAGCTTGCACTTCTGCAATGTGTGCAGTGGTCCACAACGGTTCTTCTCTCTGCCAATGACCTGGCACAAATGAGCCCCTGCCCACTCCGCATACCTCCCTACCTGAACAACTGCCACAGGCATTGCATGTTGCCAGATGCTTCCTGATAATTGATGCTCATCGATTGGCTTCAACGAGCAATAGACAACTTTTTCACTGCACTTCTTCAAGGCAATAAAATTGCTGTCAAGACTTCCAAGATTGTCTTTCGATACAACAACCTTTGTCACACAATATACCTTGCCCTACTGGGCAAAAGACATATGAGATTGCCTTTTGCACATGCAATGTGCTGCTGCATTTGCCCAAAGCCCAGCTGATGCTTCATTTTGGTGCTGAGATTCAGGGAAGAATACTTGAGCCTACTGCAAGACCCCAAATCAACAAAATCATGCCTCTTTTGCATGCTGCAGATTGCTGTGGCCCTTGGAACAACGGTCCATGCCCTCGATGTTGAGACAGACAGGGTGTCCTCCTACCTCGATAAAGATGACGACAACAGCGATGCCAGCCATGATGTTGTGACCAGTGTGGCCTGGGCGCCCAACGGACGCCAGCTGGCATTCGGATTTGCTGGTGGGGACGTGATGATATTCGATGTGGAGAAGGCCACAGTGGTTGTGCAGCAGATCTTGCATCATTTCGTGGAGATTGGATGCCTTGCGTGGAAGAGCAACTCAGTGCTGAGTGCTGGGGACACCTCAGGGAAAATCCACAACTTTGACACCAGGTGATGTTGCTATCATATCACCTTGTAGGTGCAAGGGCAGTGTTGCCCTTATCAGTAAAGCAGCTATGTGCCGATGTGCATACGCTGTCTATGGCTACAACTCAGGTGCAAAGGCAGTGCGTCGCCAGAATTCAGCACAGCAGGTTACAAGGCAACATGCATTATCATGTCTACGAACGCAACCCATGGTGTTGTTGAAGCGCTGATGTATTTCTAACGTTCAGTTCGCGTGAGATGCACGTTCAGGCGACGCCGGCACGTGACAAATCTGTGATGATCGACTAGGATGCACCACACCTATAAACACGTTGGGCAGTATGACATGGAATCGCCAGCACAAGCTATCACGCTAACTTCAAGTAGAAGGCAAGAATTGGGAGAACATGTGTGGAGGCCCATATACTTCTTCTGTCCCGAATTAAATGAAACAATTGTTGGGTGGCTGAATCTGCTTCATGTACTTGTTTGTTTTTCTTGAAAATGCAACCGCGGCACCCACTATACATGTAGTAGTCGCTGGCAAAAATTAATGCCACGTGTATGACCCTCACACCAGTGCACTGCCCGCAGGACCTGCGAGGTTGCGCACTCCCTGCAGCCCCACAGCAAGCCCGTGGTCCACCTGCGCTGGGACACCACCGGGACGACCCTCGCCAGCGGCGGCAAGGACCGCAAAGTCGTCACCTCCAACCTGCACTCGGCAGAACCCCTTTCCACGCTCGACGGCCACGACGCGCCCGTTGGGGGCATCGCCTGGTCGCCCCACAGCCCCAGCGTGCTCGCCACGTCCAGCGGCCGCTGCCTGCGCTTCTGGAACACCCACACGGGGTCCCTGATCCGATCCCACGAGGCCGCCGCCAAGGTCTCGTGCCTGGAGTGGAGCAGGCACGAGCAGGACGTGCTGGGGTGCCTGGGGGAGGGCCTGAACGAGATCGCCGTGTGGCGGTACCCGTCGATGGGGCAGAACGCGGTGATGCGCGGCCATGAGCGGAGGCTGCTGGGCGTGGCCGTCGGCCCGGACGGCCGTTGCCTGTGCTCGCTGTCCGCGGACGAGACGCTGCGGCTGTGGAGGTGTTTCGGGAGGGCGCCGGAGGCGCGCAGCGCGTTCCTGTCGTCCCTGAGATAGCGAGGTGGACCCACTGCCGCTTCGCAAATCGTGTTGCAACGTTCAGCCTGAATGTGCAGGACGCAGGCCGCGTGTGGCCTGGACAGCGCGGCGGGGCCCCTCCTGTCACTGCGTCCAGACCCAATGTACAGCGCGCGGCCTGCGCACCCATCACCACTTAACTGGGCACGGCCGCGGTGAAATCAGTCCTGTCATGGCGACGGCGATCCCTGGCTACCCCCTTCACTGTGAGCCTGCCATGTTATCTCTGTGCTGAGTAGATAGGCAGTGTAGGACGCGCAGGGGCTTGATGTCGCTTGTCAGAACTGTGCAGCAGTCTTGTGGCACAGCGGGAAACTGCACAGGGAGGCAAGGTTGGTCTAGGGGGGAAGAGTTCAGCGCAGTTTGTCCACAATGGGCTGCAACACCGTGCACTCCACAGACTAGAGGTCTACTTCTGTCGTTCTGCACCAGTGCTGCCGTGCGCCACTGCTGGGGATGGCATATTTGGTTCATTTCATTGCTGTTTGCTCATTTTGCGAATGGGGACGCCTTCATGCAATGTCCAGGTACATGTGATGGAGGATGAACTTGGTGTAGCTGTAGGGAAGGACCTTTTGTTGGGTCGATCCGATTTTTCAATGCCAACAAGTTGGACTGGAGCGGACTGCGAACGTTTGGTTTGGGTGCAGATCACGTTTGAGGGATTTGTTCTTTGGTGAGTTGGGGTTGCGTCTGGGGCCCCGTGGGTTAGATTAGGAGGTGGCAGAGGTGGCGATGGGTGGTGGCCAGATAGGAGTTGTCGCTGCTGTGCCATAGTTGGGGACAGTTCAATCGTGATACAGCGGTAAACTGTAGTGGAGGAATGCCAGCTTCAGTGCCAACCTGTGGGGACCATTGTATTTTCATGTGGCAAGCATGTGCAACTGGAACACAACATTCATTTTGAATCTTCATACATCTGCATGGAGTGCATTTGCATGCATTGCCTGAATGATGGTGACGATATTTTATTGGGTGTTGCACTATGCACCGTGATGCCAGGTGTTGGTTCGTTTCGCACGCTGCAGTTTTGGAACCTAAGTCATATTGCCTTCCTTTACAGTGACCAGTAACCACTTGACCACTTAACCGATTGACTCAAAAATTTGGCAGCACAAACTAAATTGCATCATTGTGACAATTTTTAGTGAGATTCTGATACGTTTTAGTGGGCTTTCTAGGGCCATAGATCATAACTGCAATTTAATTTGGGACGGAGGAAGTATTTCCTTCCCTGATGGTGCTGGTCGCTTTCTGCTTGGTATCATTCTTGCCCAATGAACGAGGTTCATTGAGGTTCATGTATGCTCAGCTGAAAATCTAGATGTCCATATTGAGAGGTGCTGGCAATTTTTGCAGTCATTGCATCTAATGCCTGGCAGGAACTTAGCTGTGCATGACATTGCTTTAAAGGCAAAGATCAAGGTGCATGCACCAAAGCTGTGCACCCCTTTCCCATATGCAAACCTCACTCAGAACGTATTGTTGTCACCTTCAGCCGCATCACTGTTTTGCCATCCATTTTTCATAGTGGACACCTCTGATCATCCAATTGCCCATTAAGTAGCGTGGAGAAGGCCAGTGAAAGGATCTGTGCAAGCAACGGTTGCCACGTTGGTTCAACTCTGCAACTCCCTTCGCGGGCCTCAAGTGGTCAGGCAATTGACACAAAGGCCTGCAACATGGTGCAGTCCACTAGCTTGTATCTGTCAGAAAGTGGCAAATCACACCCCTAGCAAATCCAAGACGGATCAGGAATATTGCTGCACACAGACTGTCGAAAGTGCAATCTCCTTATTAAGGAATATTTTTTACTAATTATTTTGATAATAGTTGTTTTTTGATGATTATTATTTCCAATTAAGTTAAATACTAAAATGTCTACATTGATGCTCCATCAGTGTTGCCATGCTGGGTGGGCTGGAGCTGCGTGTCTGGAAGAAACTGGTGGGCGCCATGCTCGTCCAGATGCTATGTGAATTTCTTTGGATGAGATATGCTTGTGGCCCCTTTCACCCAGAGGGGCAGCAGCGGCAATGCCTTCGACCGCTCTCAAGCAGCGCATGAAAACCCTACCTGTGCTGTTTTTGAATGACATTTTGACACGCCCTTAATCAGTGTCACCGCAGCTGCCTGCCAATTTATACACTGTATAAGTTGGCAGGCAGCTGTGTATAATTTTACACAGATGCTGGGTCAAATTATTTAGAGGATAACTTGCTGGTAATGGAAAACGTTGTGTACTTAAAGCTGTGGTAGACATCCCCGTTGTTGGCGATCGATTGGTTCTTGCTCTGAGCGGCAAAGTGCCATCTGCTGAGAATTCTTCCATTTCTCACACTTCTGTCCCAAGTTTAAGCAAGGCTACATTGCCAACAGCTGCATATTCATAGTGTAGCATCATTTGGACAGAAAAAAAAAAACCCAGTATTCTTGATTCTTTTCCTGGTGCCATTGTTCGCCGATGGCCCTAGCCAGCTGCAACGGTCATCTTCAGGACCGTTGACAAGTTGTAAAGAGTGAACGGCACGGTGCACCCTATCCACGCAAAACTCAAGTCCCTCAATCAATCCCCTTGCTGGTGATGCAGATGGCTTGGCCGGCAGGGCTGACAATTTTTCTGCCATCCCGCGCGGCCTGTGCAGGTGTCCTGGAGCTACCACTCCCCACAATAGGCAATCCTGCCTCAGGCCCTGATCATCTGACCGCCGTATTGTTCGTGCTCTTCTCAGTCCCGTCCTGGAAGTTCCCAGCTCGGAGAACCTCGCCTTGGCGGCAAGGTGCAGGTTGGATCATGGGACCAAATGCAAACCGCCCTAGGTCCAGTCCCCAGGCCTGAAGACAGATGATGTGCAGTGGGCGAAACATATCCCCAAAGAATAGGCGGGCAAAACTCTTCGAAATCCCAAACCCTTTCCTTTAATGGTGCATCTCTATGCTATCTCTGCATTGGGCATTCCGGAGCCTTGCCTATTGTCACCGGGATATTCCTTCTACCTACGCAGCCATGCGGAGGTTGTTCAGCTTGCGTCCCTCAGCAATCAGTAAGAGAATTCATCCTCGGCATCCGCGTCTTTCACGTCCGCCGTTTCGTACCGAGCGAGCCTCCTCCTCAGCTCCACAACCTCCTTGCTCTTTTGCTGCATCATGGCCTTCATTGCCTGGAATTGCTTCGATGTGCTCAGTTTTGTCGTCACGGCACTCTCGGCCTTTTTGACCTGCGCACAAGTCCGTCAAAGTCAATCCAGGTTGGCAATGCAGTAAGGCTACGATAGTGCAGAGGGGCGCCAACATGGCAGACAATGTGGATGACTAACAACGCACCGCTGGTTATTCAATACAGATCACACCCCTAATCCAGCGACGCCTGAATGCGCCACGCCATGCAAACGGGATGATGGATCTCAACAGGTGACGTGGATCCCGAGGCATGACATATGCTGTGGCGACCACAGACGCCCATCCTTTCCCTGTTGGCCAGCTCTGGGCGATCCCCCATGCCACAGGAGATAATATCGAAGTTTGCCCGGATGCTGGTGCGAAATTGTATGCCCTGGGCAATTACACCCTCGGCCGAGTGTGGGTACCACCGAAGGCAGACACTGCTGCTTTCACACGCGAACAAGGTGCACGCAGGTGGAGTTGATATGCCGGGCGTGCCTGCGCAAGTTGTTGCTCGATTTATGAACAATATTCCATACTATTCCCACCACAGATTGTAGAACTGGTAGTGCTGTGCAACAAAGATATTATTATGTATACCATAATTCATAATTTCCCTCAGCGCAGGTTCGGGGGGCCCATGCAGCATAAGCATGTCCATGCCTGTATGTACGCGAGTTCCCTTTGTGCCATGACGGCCGGATGAAATGCAATACTATGTCCACCGGATTTTCTAAATTTTTACAATTGTCTGTTGCGACGAACTCGACATTGTAGGACTCTATTTCCGATGAACCAAAGAGGGGCACGCGTACGAAGGTACAATGCCTTGGCGCGTCCATCACTCACAGCATCGCAATGATGTATTGCATACGGCTCTCCAAGATTCAGATTCCGCAGGAACATCGGGTGGACGTACGCGGACTGCAAAAATGCATTCTACACCCTGGAACAGCTCGACATGTTTTGAATCTGCCAACCCCATTCTCTGTGCTGCAGCCCCACTCGAGCTGGTGAGGCGCAAAAAATGCAGGTGAGATGGTGAAATATATACTTTTCTTAGCACGGCTTCTATCCTGGCGGAAGCGCACACCGTGAAGGTGTGCACAGCTACGCGGCGCGCCTGTAGTCTCGAGCTTCTCACCTCCAAAACTTTGGCCTTCAGTTCGTCTTTTGTTTCCATGAGCTCCTTCCTTGTCACCTCCAACTCTCCCTCGAGACCCTCACACCTGTCGGCGAGCTCGTTCATTTGCCCGGAAGACGACTGACGACAATCTTCCGCCCTTGGCTGCTCCCTCCTGTCTTTGCCGTCCTCCAGGAGACGCTTCCTGGCATCGCTGAGTTCTTCCTCCTTCTCCTGCAGCCGACGCTGCAGGTTTCGCATCGCCTCATTCTGCTCCGTTCTCGCCCTCATGGCTTTCGTCGTCTGGACTTGCAGCGTCTCGAGCTTGCCCCTGACGTCTGACAGCTCTTGCGTCAGCCTTTCCTTCTCTCCGTCGCTCACCCCATTGGCCTGCAGCCCCTGCGGCGGTCGCTCCAGCGAAGCAAGCCGGCTCAGGCGCACGGGCCTGAGCGAGGGCGAAGCTGCATCCGGAGAACGCAGCAGGTCGTCAAGGGGCTTCTGTGCGCTCCCTGGAGAGGTGGCGGATTGGGAGAGGAGGCGCTCGTTCTGCAGCAGGTCAGTGTCCACCAGCAGCCGCAGTCCCTGCCGCTCGGCTTGGAGGAGGAGCAGGCGGAGGGACAGGGTGGCGGTGCAGTACGCGTTGCTCATTTCCTGCAGGTGAAAATCAAACAGAAATGCTGCAATTCTAGTTCTCTTCGAGTGCAATTGGAATGCAGCTGGAAGTGAATTACAATGCAGCTCGAATGCAGTTCGAATGCAACGCAAACAGAACGCAGACTGCACGCACAACAGGGGCGGCAGGCGTCGCCTAAGCTTGAAATGCGCTAAATTTCCATGTGTTGTCGCCAAGTAACCTATCTTAATACTTCAATTTTGACTGCTATGCAGGATTTGCGTGAAATGCAGGTATAGGAGTGCAGCTATTGGCGCACGAACGTCACAGCGAAACAGGCACCGCCCAGTTTGTTTTCCACAGCGAGGGCCCATATTCAGTCCGCGGCTTCCTCAACGCCCCTCTAGGGACAGTTGAGCCCCAACAGATTTTCAATTCACCCCCATCCACGCCGCCATCCGCCCGCGGCTCTCGGCATCGACATGTATCCATATATCTCTGTGCATCCCCACATGGGACCCCCCTCCCGACATTGGGCTGCCCCTTTGGGGTGACCCGTCTCCGTGACCCACGGCGCACCTGACGCCCTCTCCGGACCAGCGCCGCCCTCCCGCCATTACCTTATCAGCTGCGGCCCGAACGTCCTCCTTCAGCTCTCGGAGCATCTCGACCAGATCCTCGGAGTTGTACACTTCCTGCCCACCATACAACCACATGAGCAGCCCGCAGAGAAGCGACCCTATGCTGGAAAGGCATTGTCGTTCAAGCCCGCCGCAGCGCTTGGACCCGTTAGAGCACCTGGAGCTCAGCTCGCGGCCGTAGGGCCCCACCCTTTCCCTTTGTCAGTTGCCGTCTGGAAGGCCTTAAGTTTCTAACTCTCTCCCCCCCCTCCCCCTCCTCGCACACACTTGCTCAGGGTGTGTGTGCCTTTTGCATGACCTGCTTCTTTCTCTCTTTTCAACAAATCTGACACCTCCCCCCCCGGAGCCAGCAGCGCAACTCCCATACATTTTCCAGGACTTTGAGGTCTCGAAAGTCGTCAACGGCGATTTCGAGCTCCCGCAGGTGCTGGGTCAGCCTCAGCTTGGCGAAGCGGGAGAAGTGCTGGATCTGCGACTCGTGGTGCTCGGCCAGCGCGAAACCGTTGTCGGCCATGGCTGCGGGGGGGCAAGGGCTCGGGCTCCCGGGGGACGCCGTCGCCCGTTCCCCGACGCGTTTGTCGCAGCGTGGTTGGCGTGAGCACGGACGCGCCGGAGTGGCGCTGCGGGGCCCGTTGGTCCGGAAAGGGGTTCATCCAATGTTTTACGTAACATGGCTCTGCTCCGTAGAATGTCGTATCATGAGCAAGCGTCACGCGGCGCTTGGCACCCTCCCCACTAGAAAGGAAGGAGCGGCGATTTCTGCGGAACGGTGTCTTCGGGCTTATGTCGCCCCTCGAAAAGCGAAGCAAAATGAGAAAAGTAAATCAGAAAGAAGTAAGTCAGAAATAAGACATGAGTCCGAAATCGCCGTTTCATAGAAGCGGCGTTAAGGCGGCCGCGGCCCGGAACAAGTGCTGTTTTGAGCCGGCTGTGTGGCTTGAGTAGCTCAGCTACCTTGCCAACGCGCACCGAGTCACTGGGGCCTGACAACATTAAAATGCTTGCGCCCGTGGTGATCACTGCTTACGCGAGCACGCAGTGACTGGGATCGCATTAGAAGTTAATAGATTCATACACTTTATTTGTGTCTGACATTAGATTTCAACGAACTGACCATAGACACTGCTTCACTCGGGCAAAGTAGGAAGCTAACGTCTATCTCATTGCTTGTTCTGCAAGAAATGGTGATGATGATGATGATGACTGGGATCGTGTTCGCAGTCAGTCGGGCTAACCAGTGGCGTTGAATCCTAGTGGCGAGCCCATTTGCTTTGGGTAGACACCGCGCATCTGGAAAATCGTACTGTGATTGTTGGCCGCTTTCGGCGCATTTGGAAAGTTCTCAAGCGCCAGAATTCGGTTCTGCCAAGGTGGCCTGTCAGCATTCATGTTCTGATCTGGAGTCGGGGAGCCTTGACGCGCTGCCAATCTGATGTACCAGCTAGAAGGGATTTGGTGACCTCACAACTGGTGAATTTATTCAAAAAGAATGTGTGATGCAAATATGGCTTCCAAACAAATCCAGAAATTGTTTCCCAGCCGAGAAAGTAGCTGCTTCCCCAACCTGGAAACAATGAGCATACACTACACAGCATATACCATAGTATATGCTATCAAAATTATGTACCATGCGCAGTATGCAGCATCGGTAATGCTGCATACAAAAGCTTACATACACGCAAAGCATACATACAAAAGTAATGTTTTGTTGCACATAAGCCATCTCCAAGAATTTCCTTCCCCTGGGGTGAGCCTTGCAACTTGCAAGTTGCAACCGCCAGCGTCCCAGAGTCCAGGCTCCGGCTCCTAGTTGCAATGCTTCAACGTTTCAAGACCGGGCTCTCCAAAATTTCGCCCCGAACTCCGGGCAGCCGATGTGGCAAAAAGTACAACAAGAGCACCACCAGAGTACCGTACTCTTGTGTACAAAAGGAGTTCGACGGCGAAGCGCACCGAGACCGAACCGAAGTCACACTTTGGTCACCGCCAAAGAAGCGATGCGGCCTGTCTTGTGCGAGCCCACCGCGCTCCGGCAACAAAACGCCTCGTCGCGTCAAGTGCCCGTCATCGCCCCCCAGGTGCAGGGGCCCTGGTTCGTCACGTGTTTTGACAAACATAAGGAACGGAACTCACACACTCCGGCACGCCAAGGTCCAACAAAAAAACACTCCGGCAGACCAAGGTCCAACCAAAAAACACTCCGGCGGGTGCCGGCCATTTCGTCTAAAGACAACTCGTCTAACGGACAACTGGTCTAAGGACATTACGTCTAACGGACAATTCGTCTAAAATTTCGTTGACCCAAGTTGACTCACTCATATCCACATCGCAGAAGCAGCCGGTGCCCCGGGGGCCCTCACCCGTCCAGCGCATTCCCCTAACCCCAAAAACCAACTCATTCACATCCCCATTCGAGCTGAAGCCTGTGACCTGAAGGCCCTCACCCGTTCAGCGCATTCCCCTAAACCCAAAAACAACTCACTCACATCCGCATTCCAGCTGAAGTCGGTGACCCGAGGGCCATCACCCGTTCAACGCATTCCCCTAACCCCAAAAACCAACTCATTCACATCCCCATTCCAGCTGAAGCCGGTGACCTGAGGGCCCTCACCCGTTCAGCGCATTCCCCTAAACCCAAAACCAACTCACTCACATGTGCATTCTTGCTGAAGCCGGTGACCTGAGGGCCCTCACCCGTTCAGTGTATTCCCCTAAACCCAAAAACAACTCACATGCGTGTAACTTTAGTAACTTGTGTACTCCACCACCCGGTTCCTTGTGTGGAGGTGCCCGTGAGCGTGGAGCTTCAACGCCCTTTGTCCACGAATCAATTCCCATTGTGGACTGGGGTCGCGTTGGCCTGCCTCTCCCGTCGATCCACCTTCTTGCCTTGGCGGATCTGCTGGCTCCCTCGCTGCCAATCGGTGCTGCCATTGGGTTGCCTCTCCCATCGGTCCACCTTCGGCGCTTGCAGAATCTCCGTGCTCCATGTCTGCCGGTCGCCTCTCCCTTTCGCCATCCTCCCCCGTCGATCTATTTTCGCCCCTTGGAGGATCCGCCGGCTCCATCGCCACCGATCGGAGCAGACGTTCGGCTACCTCCCCCGTCGATCCACCTCCGCGCCCGGTAGAATCTCCGCTTTCCATAGCTGCCAATCGACGCCGCACACTGCGCAAACCGTGGCACACTCGCCAGCCACGCGCCTGGATGGGCGCTCACCCTCCCGTGCTGTCCCGCCCCCTGTGCGCGCGTCAGGAACGCGCCCAGGAACCAGTTCGGAATGCAGCCCGCCACTAACGGAATGAAATGTAATTGTAGCTTAAATGCAGTTAATGGGCGCTGTTTAGACGAGTTGAGTCAACTCGTCTAAAGACAACCCGTCTAACACAAAGACGGAGTCAATGTTGCTATTGACTTCACCATAGGGCACTTGAACACACGCGACGGCGTTGAAAACGAGTGGTATTCATAACAGGGAAGTTTGTGTCACAGGTACACAACCAACCTGTGGCCGCGTTGAGGGTGGATAACTCGTTAGACGAGTTGTCCTTAGACCAAATGTCCTTAGACCACTTGTCCGTTAGACGAGTTGTCTTTAGACGAATTGGCCGGACACCCACTCCGGCACACCAAGGTCCAACAAAAAAAAACTCCGGCACACCAAGGTCCAACAAAAAAACACACCGGCACACCAAGGTCCAACAAAAAACCACTCCGGCACAGCAGTACCCGTGCACTTTTTCATCTGTTCAGTGGGGTACATGTACAGCGCCCAGCCGTGACACGGCGAAAAACAGGGCGCTCTTGGGGGACTTGGCGCTCTGCGGTAACCCCGCTGTACCAGTACTTTGGCAAAATCCCCAGCACCGGTACTTTGGGCCCGGACGCCTCTCAGCGGTTAATGTACTGACCACCGGCGCAGTTTCCAGGAAGCCCACCTCGCGCCCCCCCGCGCTCCCCCCCCCCCCCTCCGCAGCCTCCTGGCGCGGCACGGGCGCCTTGAGTTTTGGCGGGCAAGGCCCGGCCCTGGGCGCGGTCGGCCCTGCGCCCCGCCATGCCACACTTCGCGGATGCCAGCGGCTCATGGGAGACCTTCGACGTGGCCAGCGCGAGCACGCAGTTCTGGGAGCGCGTGCCGGTCGTCACCAAGGCGGGGGACCGCGAGGAGGAGCTGCGCGAGCTGACGGTCCGCATCCTGTCCGGCTTCGCGAGGCAGAACCACAACCTGAGGGTGAGGGGGGGGGCCCGGAAATGACGGTGTGAGATTGGTGAAATCTTGCCGTGTCGGGAAGGAGGGGAGGGAGCCTGTTCCCGACTCTGAAAACCATTCTTTGTGAGCATGTGGGTGGAGCTAGAGCGGGGGCCAAAGCATCCCTTGTCTTCAACAATGAGTCGCGGGGGCCGATGCTGCCCTTGAGGCAGTTCGCTTGATCGCAATGTGCTGCAAAAGAGAGGAAGAAACGGGTCGTGCGAGAGGCGCTCCTTGCTGGGCGAGTGCGCGAGTCTCTTTTCCATGCTGTCAAAAGATGAGTCTCTCCGATAAAAGCAACGGCGCCTGCTTGCTTGGATAATCAAATGGAGATACAGATGCAAACTGGCATTTAAATTATGAGTGTAAATATCAATCCCAATGTACTAAACAACAAGACATAATAGAGTAGAAACGAGTAGATTAAAACAAATGTCAGCAAAGAAACCGACGAAAACAACAAACAGCGAAATAAATTAAACGAGCTCTCGATACTATCCTTCCACAAAAGATAGCGCAGTAGTCGCACTCGTGGTGCTGATCGCCGCCCGTGGTGCTCCCCCGGTTGGTTTGTTTCTCGCCGGGGGCCGGGCTCGGTTTCACGGGAGGCGACGTTTGGCTGGCTGCGCAACGACAGCATTGTGTGAGGATGCCGTGCCGGGCGCGGACGCGACCGCGTGCTGCCTGCACACTCGCCACTTGGAAGGTCGATCCATGAGAGAGCAGATAACGGGGCGTCGAACCGGGACCTCAGCCGAGTTGGGTCGACGAGGAAGTCGAGACCTGGGGTCCAGAATGAACACAAAAGCATCAGCAGAAAGGAGCAACCGAAGCCGGGGTTAGGGACATGGCGTCCTGCTCTGTGTGATTTGGCCATCTCGAGTGGATTGTTGCGAAGGCACGGCAAGGGACAGCCAAAGGCCGCATCTGTCTTCATATGGTTCCGCTGTGTGGAGAGCAATATGGGGTACAGCGCTGCCAGTGCAAGAAACTACTGGGAACGGATTCGTCCACCTACTGTTGCGGGAATCCTAGGTGTCTCTCTCTGTCCTTTCAGAACAAATTCAAACCAGCTGTGTCACTGGCCTGGGGGAGCTGCAAGCCAAACACAGCCAGTCCCTGGAGCTGCGGTCTGGCTGCAGCTGCTCATGATGCAAAATGGTTGTGCCGTTTTGTGGCGCCAGTGTCTTGAATTGGTATTCCTTGCATCGTACTTGACACTGTAAGGCAGAACACTGCCTTTTGGGCCTTGCAGGCGATGAAGAATACTGAGCAACCCCAAGTGCATTTGGGAACTCGTCCTTTGCTCAACTGATTTGTGCCAGTGGATACTGTATGCCACTCTTTTTCTACGCAAATTGCATCTTCACACATTATTCGGCACTGGGTGCTGACAGCTAGTCGAAAGCCAGTGAACTGAAGCGATCGAAATAGTTTGTCATGAAAGAAAGGGAGCAGAGCACATGCAATTAGTTGTTACTGTGTGCTGACAGCTGACTTGATAATGAAAGAAAGGACAAACATGAGCGCACTTGAGATTTGAACTGGAAATGATATCCATTGACTGCTGCAACATAGATGGACACTGGTGTTGGCTTAGGGGATGTTCGGACGAATTGGGGCTCCGACATCATAGGGCATGCCATGGTCTGATGCAAGTCAAAACTGGATTCTTCATTGGAGCTCAGAGTTGACGAGCTGTGTCACTCATTGTGTTGGGAGTTCCATTTTCAGTGTTGGATTTCATTGCTTGGCTCAATGCTCATTTGTGGTTTCACAAGATCCTGAGGGTGCACGTCTCAAGCGAAGAGGACTTGTTGTTTCTCCACACCTTGGAAGTGAGTGAGGACGAATTCCAGTCTCTGAAAATCGAACAGGGCATACTGGTGGACTTCAGCAGCTTTCCAGGGAAGATTATCAGTCTGTTGGGCAAATGCATCGAGTCAAGGGGCGAGGACATGCCAAGGTAATGGCCCGAACCGATCAAGAATTCCAACCATCGGAGGTTTTGTGATGCATTGGATGTAACAAGAGGAATGGCTTCATTAGGTTCAGTGAATGACTCGGTTTCCCAAGCCCACAGCAGGATCATTTGTCTTTTTAAGATACAATGGCCGACATCTTACTTGCACTGGTGATATGTGGCACTGTGGCTCGGATAGTTGCTCAAACCCATCTGCTTTGCAACGAGATATGCATCTGGGAGGACCGAAGGGCAGGGTACATAGATCCATGACAAAGGAACTGCTACTCTTCTTGTCTTGAACTGCATGGTGGACATGGAATGTGGTCCAATGACACCAGTCGATACATCTTTTATTGCCAATATTTTGGCATTGTACAAAAGTTGTTGCAGGAGCAAATTGCAGTGGTCAGGATGCAGAGAACAACCTGGTTTTCAAACTGCCTTGAGATCTGCCAGATTTCTTGTGTGGCATGTGTGCGTTTGGGAGGATACAACTCCTTCAGTACTTGGCGAAGCAATCTCAAGTTCGGTGACACAGAATTTGCACTTTCTGGCACTTGAATCAAAATATAGTGGCAATTAAACATGTTTGAACTGGTTTCTGAGGACCACATTTTGTTACTGCTTCTTAATTTGGTACACTGTCCCAATTATAGTCCCCTCAGCAAATTTGCGTATCTTTATCTGTTGGCTTGGACTGAATGGAAACTGCAAGGGCGTCACTTTCCAGGCTCTGTCCTCACTCTCACCTTTCCTCATAGACGGACTTGCTTTGGAAATCTGTGATATGCAACAAGCCATTGTCTGCAATGAAACAGTATTGGCTGTGGCTCGTTTGAGGCATCGCCTCGTTTTGCCTCGTCTGAAAATGTCAGTTGTGTGATTTGCTTTGGGAAATGGGCACGAGTGTGGGAACATGCAGTGCATTGTGCACGTTACATCTCCGACAAGCATGTAGAACCCAAGAATAGATTGCACGGATAGCTGGATACAGAGGTCTCACATGAAATGAAGTAATGATCTTTACGTTTTCTGCATCTGCAACATAAACTCAAGCGACTTGCTGTTGGCTCACAGGCCAGGACAATGTTGTGCAGACACGTCCGTACCCTTAATTTTGCTATTGCTGACTATTTTGTATTGTGTTAGTGTTGTACTTGCTGTTATATTGTCTTCTTATCTCATGATTACTATTGTTTCCCCTCATGCAAAGGCTGCTGCACTGCAAAACATAATTGCAGCACTACTCTGCACTTTGCGTAAAACTTAACACTGAAGAGGCACAGTCATGTCGCAACATATTCGGAGTTTTGTTTTCCTAGGTGGGCAGGGGAGGCGCGAACAAGCCAGAGGTTGCTGACAGGGGACTGGGTGTGTGTCCTTCACAGGTTCCAAGCAGTGCTGACAATATCCCCAGGGGAGTCCAGATTTCAGATTGTGGAGACAAACGACTTCAACAAACTTCCACACGTCACACTGAGGTTTCGCCCTGGTGATGACTTGGCGATTAAGCAGGTGCATCGGGGACAGTTTGCTTGATTTTGTTTAGTTGGTGTGTAGAATTGATGGAGCATTTGCGATCATTTGTTTCAATGATGCGGGCAGACCGGAATCTGATTTTTTTAATTAAACTCATTTGTTTTCAGTGATGCAAAGGGGCAAAAATCCGAGATTCGCTGAGGTGAATGGATTGAGTTACAGTGGAGAAACGAAACAGCATGGAAAATTTCGATAGCAGCAACTGCACGTGCAAACTGTACCATCTGTACTGCTGGCATTTGAATGTGTGAAATATTCCTCTTGGATATGTGCCAGCGTTCTGTACTCTGTTTTTCTGACTCAGGCTGAGTTATGGCTTGCTAGACAGGACTCAGCCACTGAAAACTGAAACGACATCTGCAGTGAGATTGTGACAAATGCAGCGAAATAGCATGGAAAACATTACCTGTGTTTGTAACAGAGATGCAATCAGGTGGTTGTGCCTGTTCCGCTCATTGACCAAAAATGCTACTGTGATGCAAGGGTTTCATGAATTTCTATTCTGATATTCTCCCTAATGATTTGTTCAAAATGCATCATAACACTGCCCTTCCACTTGCTGGACAAAACCAGAATCTGGGTTCCAAATGGTATAAGTGCTGGCTACTTTGTCCCAATTTGTTCCCAATACGTATGCTTAATATTTGCTCCTAACTGTCGCCAAACTACTTTTTGCATGCTGCCAGTTCCTGGCCTTTCGCCTCTCTGAGATCAAAGGTAGCTGCAGTCAACTGGAGAACGAGTTGAGGGATGCAAGGGTGAGGATTCTTGAGCAGGCAGGGTACTGTGCACTCGCTAACAGTACTAGAATTGTTTTCCCACTGCTCGTGTTGCTGAAATTACTTGCTGAATTACTTGGGACGTGACCTGATACATTCTTCCTCTTGCTGAACATTTCGCCCTGTTGCTTGGGACTCCCCTGCAGGGACATTCAGGCTTCCATGAACAATGCTGGTATCTTGCTTCCTTCAGTGTTTTCAATGCTCTGCTCTGTCGAGGGGCGGGTAGAGTGCATAGATGCCCTGAATGTGTTCTTTTGGATCAATGTGCGGACACCAATGATGCAGCCAGATTCACATATGTTAGTCCTGTGCAGAGGGAAGGTGAGATGCGACAGTGTGAGCTCAGCCAGACACAGGTGAGGCTGGATGAGGTCGAACGCTCGCACAGGCAGCAAATGATGGAGGCCGAGGCCAATGCGAAGAGCACACGAATAGCTCTGCAGGAGGAGAGCTCCCATGAGAAAAGCATGCTCAGGGACAGGATGGAAAGGTCAGTCACTGTGGCCGAGTACAATTCTGACTGCATCTCCAGCAGCGGACAAACAGGGCTGTTGCACCTAGGCACTTTGACATCTGCGCTTTGCGTACCTGGATTGCAGTGTGTATTCCTAGGTTGCTGAGTGTGCTCCTAGGTTGTTGTAGACCATGTTCGCAGCATGGACCAGATGTCCTCCATGCCATGCCCGCACTGGCCCCAGAGTCTGTGTGTAGTCTGTATGCATAGTGTGTGCACTTTGCATGCACACTCTCTTGCAGCTGTGCTACAGCATGTGCAGAGTGTGTACATCGTCTGCACTGCAGACGTTATGGAACTTGCAGTCCTGTTGACAGCAGAACGACTGGCTGAAGTGAGTGCCTCTTGGTTGAGTGGTGCATCATGATTGGATCCTGCCTGGGATTGTATCCTACCTGTGGCTGACATGCTGGACCTACTCACAGTGTAGCACTGCAGCACCTTCTTTGCTTTGTCAGGTGGAATCGTGAGCTAGCTGGGAGCACAAAATGTAAAAAACACCTTATCTGCTCAGGAATGGTGTATGGTCAAGCTGATATTAACTAGAATCACAGCAAGGTTTCATGTTCTCTCCTGGCTCACAAACTGATGTAAATAATTCTCGTCTGTGCTCTTTTGCTTCTGTTGTCCAACACCTGTATGAATGGCGGTTCCACCGCCATCATTTCCAACAGGAAAGGAGTCATGTATTATGAGAATCATAGTGATATAATTTTCTTGGGTGTTTATTGCGAGAAGGCTGAAGAGTCTTACTTTGTTGTGCTGTTTTGCTTGGTTTCTCTCTGTTGATCAACCTCAACAGATTTGCCTCTGGCCGTTGGCCTGAACACTACGACTGTTAGGCTGGATGCAATCATATGCTGATGCCCGCAAGGAGTTGCCTTTGGCAACATTTTAGATATGTACTCAGCTGGAATGCGGCTGTGGCTCTCTACCCACGTCCTTGAATGCACCTGCCTCCTTTGATGCGAAACTTGTCCGGTAGTTTGGCGGAGCTGGTCTGCAGTGCCTTGCAGCTGTTAGGAAAATTTCGTCGCAAAGGCAATGGCTGCAGTCCAAGCGGATTGATAACAAGTTTATGGTCGTCACGCACAACACATTTTGTGCTTGAACGTATCTGCAAAGTAGTTGCTGAGCATCTGTAGTGTCAGGAATACCTGTAACAGAGCCCAAGGTTTCTTGTCAGGCGAAGAACAGTGATTGTTTGATGATATGATCAACATGGATTCACGCATTGAAAGTGCAGTTTAGCTTCTGTCTGTTTGATCTGTAGGGAGCGCTGCGAGCTTGAACAGCGACTTCGAGATGAGCTGGCAGCGGTGAAGGCTCGGAACGAGAAGTTGGACGCTGAGAATAGGGAATTACTGGCAGGCAAGCTTGAAATTAGTGCAAGGGTGCGTCTATGTCGGATGGGCTGCTCAGAATTCACATTGCAAGTATGTACCGGATCGTCGTCCATGTTCTGCATGTTGTGGATTCTCAGCTTGACAGCGGATGCCACTGGCTTGCGCGCGTGACATTGGTCAATGCCTCAGCACAGTGATTGACAGATTGACGTTTGTGCTTGGTTGCGCCATGCCTTCCAAATGCGTCCGTTGGATCATCGCCTTGATTGTGCTCATCAAAATATGGCAAACGTGCACAGTGCATCATTGACAGAACAAGCGCTTGTCCCTTGGCCAAGAAAAGCATCGATCCTCCTTCCCCCCACCCCAAAATTCGCTGTATGCAGAATTTTGATTTGGGACGTTGGTCAGGCTTTAAATGGATGTTCTACGCCCACCATCACCTGCACACGCAAATGCTGGTATCTTGGGCAATATGCAATCCATGGAGTTGCCCCCTACCTCCCTGGCTGTTCACCTGCTCCCGTCAGATACTCACCCTTTGCCCTGACATTTTCTAGTCATGCCCCCAGCACTGGCGCGACAACCACATGGGCCCCTTGGGGCACGTCAGCTTCTTTGAGTTCAGCGTGAATTCGACCCAAGGAATGGCGTCGCTGCCTAAGACAGGCATCTCCATAACGGCATAATGCCGTCGGCATTGGTCACGCGTTTCCAGCTGCTATCACGTCAAGTCGTTGAAAGCCATGCACTTCGTTGCGATGCAGCTATTCATTTTGTTCTTTAATCAGTTCAATTAGGTTAGGTTCATTTGTTTAATTCAGTTTCGTTTTGTTTAGGTTTGTTCAGCTCAGCTTAGCTGAACTGTGCAGGTTTGCAGCAGAGCGAATTAGTCAGCAGGAACAGCATTGCTGCCCAACGCGGGCAGCCTTACGTCAGCACTGGTCACATGCTTCTGGCTTGTCTGCATGGCAGCTTTTTGAGCATCCACGACAGCGTTGCGAAGCGTTTGGGTATAGCCTCTCCACATGTGCACAATCTGCAGTTGTGTCAGTCCACTGCTCACCATCCTTTTCTGCATTGAAGCTAGATGGGTGTTGTGGGCTTCCCGGGATGTCGGATTTTAAGGATATTCGGTGCATATTGAAATGAACAGATGCTGTCGAGCAACATTGTTGAAAATTGCTGTGGATGATCCTGTGCCCATCGATGTGCTGACGGTGCGTGTTGCATGTGCACATGCCCGTCATTTCTTGGCGATCGCAATCGAGAACCGCTCTTGTTCGTCAAGCTGTTGACCTGTGGGATCCTGCACTCAGGTCTCAGATCTCGAGCATCGGCTCGCGGTCGCGGATCAGGAGAGGCACTCACTCCGGGAGGACTGCGCAGCGCTGAGGGACCAGAATCGGCAGCTGAGCGGCGAAAAGCATGACCTGGAGCTCAGGGTGAATGATGCCAAGGTGTCCACAAGGGGCTTGGAGGAGCAGGTTGGTGCTGCAACGTGACACACGCTGTGTAATTCCGCATCGAGCACAGCACAAGCACGCTCGTTCAGAGCTGTGCATTCGCACAAATTCCCACTGTGAACAATG